TTACGTTTACGAATATTATTAAGGAATACAAATCCCTCTTTGCAATGTTTACCAGCCTCCTTAGGCTTTTCAATCACAATCATTCAACTGGAATAAAAACAATATTGTTAACATGAAAATATGATTTAATGTTCGTTGTTTAGAGTTATTCTAAGGCTTTACTCATTGGGAACTCGGTATGAGATAGAGCAGGAGTTCCCAAACGTTGCCATGCCAAGGGCCCCCATATAGCATTATCGTCTGTTGCCATTTATTTTTTAATGATGAGTATATTATGATGGAAAATATGACAAATTAATCGTACAGCTTAATACATTTTCTTAATATATATTTGTATTAATAATTAATAATCAGTTATTCTTCTAATTTTTGTTGTATTTATCTTTTGTTTGTCATTCATTACATTGATTGTGTCTTCTGTTATAAACATTCTTAACACAATATTAAACAGTAATATCAACAGTAAACATATTTTAAAGCATTTTTAAAGTGATTTCTGTCTTTATAATATTCTATAATTTTGAACAGTAATATGAACAATTAACATATATTTTTAGAATTTTTTAAAGCTATTTATATATAATATTCAACAGTAATATTAACAATAAACGTATTTATATTCATATATATAAACGACAATATTTGCTGCATCCGTGCTCTCATCCAGCTGCAGAGCGAAATATTCACTAGCTCTCAAACTCAAGCTCTCCCTCAAACTTTGCGTGACCCTCCTGCCCATGATGAAGCCTCATGAGATGAACCCTTTTGCGAACCAATTGGCTGGAAAGCTTCAAAGCTTCATAAGGCTTCATTTCGCCATCACTAGAGAAAATAGCTATGCTAAGTAGCCTTGAAGTTATACCACTGTGCAGGCCCGGACTGGCCATCGGGAGGACCGGGAGGTTTCCCGATGGCCTGGCCTGTTAAGTGGCCTGCTGGCCTCAGGAATTTTTGTTTTTTATGTATGTATTGTGAACGCAACGCTGCGCAAATGTGGGTCTGACTCTGCCTCACAGAGGGTGACTGGCTGTCTACATGATGTGGCCTGCCGACATGGCCACTTTCATACAGATCATACTAATGCCCTCGATTGGTCTCTGTGTGTCATTCAAGCTCGGGAGTGTGTGTATGTGTGGCGCGAGCGAGCGAGGGAGAAAGCACGCGCACCGGTTACGTGTATTGTTGTTAGCATCTGGTGCTAGCTAGCTGCGCTAACGGATATCATGAGCTCTCAACAAGGTGGAGGAGAGTCCTCTGCTGTCAGACTGATGCGGCTTTCACACCAGCGCTTTTCCCTTTCTAGCTCCGAGCTAGAGCTTTTCTGGTTCAGCTCCGGTTTCCCTTTTCTGCTCCCGCTCTGTTCACACCGCCCAGCACCCGACTGGTGCTGCCGCTGTTGCGTCATGACGTCACCGTTTACATCGCTGATTTGCTCCCCAACGGCATTACGGCGCTCACAACAACAACGACGGGGAACTGCGTCGGGTCGATGATCGTGTTGCTTTTAATCACACGAAGCCAGATTAAATTGAATAACGACTTCTCCAACCTTATACTTTGCTCCAGAGTGCCGTGATTCATTGTTTATTAATGTGTTTCTGCAGCATTTACCGACCGCTGCAGTGTTGGCTGCTCTTCCACGGGAGTTTATTCTCCTCCGTTAGCTCCCGGTTAGCTCACATTGCAGCGGCCGCTCTAAAGTATTCACTGTCCGACTCACACAAGCAGCTGATACATATCCCCAGTTCCCCTTAGCCTAAGTGAATGTGTGTCAGTCTGAATTGACGCTGTTTGGTATCACAACGCTGTTGTGAAAGTTTCTCTGGTATAAAATGGGTGATGTTAGCATAGCAACCGAAGCTAAACTGACTACTTGCTATTGCTATCCTATTGTGGCATAAACCGTTTTCTACAGGCACATTTTACCGGCGTGTTTTTATTATGATTCTACTTGTGATAGTCGGACACGACAACCTGTGCAGCCCATGTATTGATTCCATCCGATAGCTGCTATAATACAAAACAAAACGTCTGCCTCTCTCCACAATGATCAATAACAATGACCGGATGGTCAAAGTAAGGTACAAATAAACAGAATCACACGAAGCCTGGTTAGTGTTGCCTGACTTTATAAAGTGTGTTTATAAGCACTACTGCTTGTAGGCAGGCATGAGAGTCGACCCATGTTCAGGGGAGGAGGGTTTAGTTTCCTGCACGCCTCGACGTAAGAGAGACGTAAGCGACGCCACCTCTTAGCTCCGAAGCTCTTGCCTCTAGACCGACAATTTTTTGGAGCTGGAAGTGAACCCGATTCTGGAGCTAAGAGCCGGCGCCGCTGCGGTGTGAACAGGAAAAAACCGGCGCTTTTTCAGGCTCCAGCTCCGAGCCGGAGCTGAAAAAGCGCTGGTGTGAAAGGGGCATCAGAGACTGATAACTACAACTAAGGTGAGGTAAAGTGTTTAGATAGTTAACTTAGTCTAAGTTCTCTGTGGGTCTCAAACGGTTTGGTCACCATTTATGTAAACACATATTTCCATTTGAGAGGTGATTAGTAAAATATGCATGAATAAATTAAAAAAAAGTTAACTAGGTGAAAAAAAACAGGAAAAACTTTTAAAACTTGTTGAGAGCTAAAAACTAGTCTTTGCTGCTGCCTCAAAGAGGAGCAGGGGGAGATGAGGGAGATAGGAGAGGCTGGTTCAGGAGCCCAGACACACTCACAACTATAAATGAACCAAAAACAAATAAATAAACAAGTTTAAGTGTTTTTTCATATTGGATATGGTACAGTATGTTATTGGTTATGGCCATGTTCTTATGATTATTATTATAAATGTATACAGTTCTGTTTCATATGGGTGTAGTCTCTTTATTTCCCCCTCAAAGTGCACCAGATTGATGCATTTAAGTCCAACATTTTAAAAACAATCTTACCGGGGGAGCATGCCCCCGGACCCCCCTAGAGGATTTGAGGTCCACCTCCACTTAAAATATGTTCACATGGATAGGTTCCTCAATAGATTTGCAATTTTTTTTTAAAATAGTGACCCATGTCCATATGTTTATTCTGGGGTAGTTTTAAAGTTTAGGGCTATCACTATGGGCAGCAACGCTGTAAATATTGACAAATAAATCCAGGAAAATGGCACAAAAGAAAACTGGTAGTGGCCTGGCTGGGTGTATAATTCCCGGCCTGACTTATTGTCCCAGTCCGGCCCTGCCACTGTGGTTTTACAACGATCTGGCGGCGAAAGGTTGTGGAGCCTCCGTTGATATGCCGTTGTAAATGGCTTGATGGAAAGCAGGTGTGTAGTCGGGGGAGGGTGCACAGCTGATTGCAGCAGGTGAGTGGGGTTGAGCCGGGAGCCAGGAGTGAGAGCCACCACGCCCACACAACAAACAACACAGACAGGGGGAAACAAACAAACACAAAGGAGACTGCTGGAGGAGTACAGCCACCACAGCGTTACATAATGCAACTCCACACTACGGCCCTTTCTCATTTCTCTAACTCCCCTCCTCGACTCCTATCCTCGAGACTTAGTCCCGCCCACAGGAGATGCGAACGGAGGAGTCGAGGAGGGGAGCCGAGGAGAGAGGAGGGGAAGCATGCAGGCGGTTAGAGAAATGAGAAACTCCTCTCCTCTGAGCGGTGATTTTAAAGAGACGTCCATTAATGATGACAGGAGGCACAGCAGCCCTCTGTCTGATGGATAGATGTGTTCATGACCACTTATATATTTACTTTTAATTCATTCACAGTGCGGTATAATGAGACAACAGGCTGCGGACACACACACACACACACACACAATTTCAGAATCAAACAGAATCATTATAACGTAACACTATCAGAGACTGGATATATAGCCCCCCCCCCCCCCCCTCTCTGGTCGCTACAATGAGGGAAATAAATTACGGGCCAAAAGTTTTATTTACAAGTATTAAAAGTAAGCAGAGGACACCAAACCAACTGAGACCTGTCTGTCCGCTGCATATACGCACTGTACAACACACACACCTACACACTGTACAACACACACACCTACACACTGTACCACACGCACCTACAGCTCCTAAAGCATATAATCAGGCTACAGCCGTTGTGTATTTTATTATGTGAAGCACAGCACTAAATGGTTTTAGAAAAATATCGACTCTTTGTTTGTAGATATCTACTAAACTACAGCAAATAAAGAGAGTAATGTAGGCCTGTTATACTGAGTGATATATATTTTACACACTGCTCTGCTTTCTGCACGGACCTCACAGCTGTTCTCTCTGTAAACATCGCGTTGCGATGAGAGCAGTTAATAAAATAACATCCAGGGGATGCATGCAGAGCTGTGATTGGCTGAGATAAGTCCGGCCGTGCGTCACGACTCTTTGAAACATCTCTGTTCCTGGAAATGCATCCACGAAGGAGCCGTGGAGGACCCATCAGTGTATCCTCGGTTATAGCTCCTCCAGAGAGCCTCCTCGACACTCGATCCTCGGTCCTCAAAGTGCATTTAGAGAAATTAGATGTCCTTCAACATGGCGCGCTGAAATTCATTTACGGGTCAATACCAGAGGACCGAGGAGTCGAGGAGGGGGATTTGATTAAATGAGAAAGGGCCTACGTTTTACGGTGCTGTGTACCGGAGGGGAGAGAGAGAGAGGAGTGAAGGGGGGGAGAGAGATGTAATACGGTCGTTTCCTGATAAACGTTTTGTTTAATAGGCCTCAGCTGTGGAGAGTATGTGCTGCAGGGAGGTGGATGCACCTGCACAACGCACCCAGGAACGAAAGCTAGCTCCGGTCCTTTTCCTGTTAGGGAAACTGTGGACTCGATATCCTGACAGCAGTTTTTAGTAGCAGAGCTCAAAACGGCTCCTTTCCCTCTGAATTATTGCCCTTATGTCTCGTAAAACATATCAAATCCTGCATTAACTTTTTTCTTTTTTTTGAATTGTAATTTTCAGGCAAGCTTAAATCTAGTAAAAAGAAAAACCTGCAAGTTGCTCTTTAATAGAAGACCGATTTATTGAACAAAACATTTTGTTTGAGATGACAAGTGCTGTTTAGCAAGTGAAAGTGCTGTAAATTGTAGTTTCCTCCTTCATTTGGCAAAGTACACATATTCATCCATGTTCTTTCATGATTTCTCAGACGAGGGCTGCAGTTATCCATCCAACGGTTGCTCCGACGCCAGCCGCACCTGCAGAGGCAGCTGCTGGCAGACCGGCTGCACCTACAGCAAGGATCAAAGGTTTAATATATCAACTATGCAGACATTACCATATTATCATTATTTTAACCAAAAGATTAAAATGCAGTGATCTTTACCTGCTGCCTGTAAAACAGCCACTGTACTCCCGGCTGCCACTGCTCCCCCGTTAGCCACTGCAGCTGCTGACATCATGCCGGCAGCATAGGAGCCTGCTGCGATCCCGGCTGAGGTGAACCCTACACCGGCCAGAACAACAGGAGCAGCGAAGAAAGCTCCAGCTGCAGAGGAAACGTTGTTAATGCCAATTTGTTTGGCCACTCCAAAATGAATAGTGAGTCAGAAATAGTAAGCATTTAAGTGGATTGTCTAAATAACCCCAAATTGGGCTCAATAAAGAGTAGCCTAGGGCGGCTATCTAATAAAGTGTGTTTACAATCAGATGAAAACGTTTTACCTGCTCCAGCGCCAGCTAAAGCTACAGTTACTGAAACACAAGATGAATATCGAAATCAACATTAACATCGGGCTTAATCGATACCTTTGCTAAAGTAAATATTATTTTTGTTTGTCATTAAAATCGCCTAGAATGCACGAAGTAAAAACTCGATGAAATGTAAAGTGATACTCACACAGCCCCATGACTTGATATATTGTGTAGTGTAAGAACTGATTATCCTCGAGCTGCACCGGGTTTATATATAGCCTGCCTAGCTTTCATTTCCTGAGAAGTAAAAATCTGCTGTATAAGGCTCAGGTTTCTCTTCTTGTGAAATGAAACATATGGATTTTGTACGGCAGAGGGCGTCAGATATTCATTGTCGTTAATGAATAAAATATTCTTCTCACTGTATTTAGAGCACCAGGAGGAAAACAAAAGACTGTCAAGGTTGAGGAATTCTAACCCAGTTTAGGTCTACCTGCTTTGTGGATCAAATGTCTTCACCGTTTATTTACACATCAATAGTTTAATGCAATTAAAAAGGGAGTCTTATTACATTTTATATTTAAGTCGAGGCACACCAAATACACCATTCTTTATGTGACCATCGCCTGATTTTTATTATGAACGACAAGAAGCAATAACGACAATAATTCACTTTGATGTGATACTGACCTCTCACCAGTGGGGGCGCTGTTTACCAGCAGCAGCAGCAAAGCTTCCTCAGTTGAAAATCTCTTTATGTTGTGTTTGTGGAAAATACGTTGTTTATGATTACCAGAGTTGGGAAGTATGGAGCTAATTTCCTGCCATAACTCCACAAACAAACTAAACAGGTTTTACAAATGCCTCATGATTCACTAACAAACACAATGTGGTTTGCAAATACAAAACACCATCTTCAAACTAATGCATTTAGCTTTGCAAAGAAAAAACGTATCAAACAAACACATAACATTTTTCTAATAAATCATGTTTCAGAGACAAATTCAGCATAAGTTTTACAAGTACACAACTTTTTCTTCTCATATTTTTTACCACAAGTTCTTAATAAAACTGACACTTGAGAGGCTTCTCAATACTCAAATTTCCCCTCCTCGACTCCTCGGTCCTCCGGTAGTGACCCGGAAATGAATTTCAGCGCGCCATTTTGAAGGACGTCTCATTTCTGTAAATGCACACCGAGGACCGAGCATCGAGCGTCGAGGAGGCTCTCTGGAGGAGCTCTAACCGAGGAGGCTCTCTGGAGGAGCTCGAATCCTCGGTTAGAGCTCCTCCAGAGAGCCTCCTCGACGCTCGAAGTGCTGGAATTGGGCCGGTACTCACCGGTACGCAGTACCGGCACTTCTGGTTCTGACCCATGGAGTACCGGCACTTCTTGCTCAGTACCGGCATGCTGGCGGTACTCCGGTACTCATGCACCGTGCCAGTACTCAACACTCTCCCGCCGTTCTTCTTCTTATTATTATTATTATTATTATTATTATTATTATTATATATATATATATATATATATATATATATACACACAGCCGCCCGGTACTCAGTAGATGCGTCATGAGGTGCCGAACGGACATTCTCATCGCTCTAACCGCTGGAGTTTCACAGCGGCTGTCAGCTGTTTACTCCTGTCATTCAAACAGAACGTGCTGGAGAGGGGGCGGGGCTTATCTTCTCCATGTAAATACTGTGGTGGAAACGACTATGTCAAAATTAACCTATTTGACCGTGATTTAATAGTAATACACGTTTCAAAATAATAATAATAATAATGCCGAAGTAACAACATACTGAAAACTGTTAGTAAAACCATGTTTTAATGCTTTACAATTTACATACCTAGATGCACGTGTGTTATGTTTATGCAGTGCAACTCCCACCCAGTGGGTGGCTATGTAGAGTGATAGAACAGAGCAGGCACGCCCCCGAGAGAAGGAAAGCAAGTCACGTCACAAATTAGCATTTCTAAAATGTTAGCGTGGATTCATAAAAGTGCAAAAAGACAGCGGTTGTCGCCGGAAGAAACTTCAAATACAGAGAATGCTGTGCCTGTGTTGGAAATTGTGTCTGATGGGGAGCTTTCTTTGGTTGATCCTCCTGCTCCAAGTTCTAGTGCATTAGCATTAGCACTAGCTCCGCCGCCTCCTCCAGAGCCTCTAACGTTAGCTGCTGCTGGCGCAACTGCCACCACCAACACCGGGCAAAGTGATGCACCTGACTGCTGGACAACGGACCAGGTGCAATATTTTTTGCAAGACCAATGCATGGCTCCTTCTTAAAGATAAGAAGCTAGGATGTTGGATATGCAGAGATGTCAAATCTTTGGGAATACACACTGGACAAGGACTGAAACTGTCAACTGAATGGGGTGAGTGTGCAGTGTCTCATTTCGGTGTTGACAAGGGCAAACAACAAGCTAGCCTGAGAAAAAAAATCAAAGAAGATAAAGAATCACAAGCCCATGTAAAAGCTGCTGACATCCTTACATCTGCTTCACGTGAAACTATTCAACATCAAGTGCAGTCTATGCATACATCTGAATTAGACACCACTATCAGAGTTTTTCGAATGGCATATAAATTGGCAAACATAGCCGGCCATTCACAGACATGCCAATTGATTTGAATGTACAGAAACTGAATGGGCTGAACGTGGGCAGGGTTTTGCACTCCAATAAAACCTGTGGCGAAATCATCGACCACATAGCTCATGAGCTGAAGAAAAAAAAATGGCAAAAGACATTACAGAAAACCAAAGAAAACTCTGTGTTTTGGTCGATGAATCTACCACTATTAGTGGTAAAACGGTGCTTGTTGTGTGTCTACGCTCAGCATTAGCTGATGCTGAGTCCGAAACATTTTTTTGGGAGCTGATCAAGTTGGATGGAACAACGGCTGATGACATCACAAAGGCGTTAATGGAGTGTCTTGGAAGAGATTTTAACGAGGACTTTTTAGGTCAGTGTTTCGTTTCTTTTGCATGTGATGGGGCTTCAGTCATGCTAGGGAAGAGAACAGGCGTTGCTACCCAGTTGTGTAGTAAATTCCCAAGCCTGTTTGTGTGGCACTGCTCCAATCATCGTCTAGAGCTGGCAGTTGGGGATGTGGTCAAGGAGGTCTCAGGGCTCAATCATTTCCAGATCTTTTTTGACAAACTCTATTCCTTGTTCCATGCCTCCCCCAAAAATCAGAGGCAGTTAGCGCAGTGTGCGCAAGCAGTCGGACAGCGTCTCCTGGTGATAGGGCGTGTTTTGTCCATCCGCTGGGTGGCTTCAAGTGAAAGGAGCGTCAGAGCAGTCTGGGAAAACTACCGAGTGCTTCATGATCACTTCACAAATGCTGCAAACGACACGAGCAGGGATTCCAGAGACAGAGCAAAGTACAAGGGCCTGGATGATGTGCTCACATCTGCAACGTTTGTCAGCAATCTGGGACTGATGTACGATGCGCTCAGAGCTCAGCGACCTCTCTCGGCAACTCCAAAAAAGAGAGATGACACTGCCTACAGCAGATAGGCTCTTAACTCGAGAAATACGAGTTTTTGAATCCATGGTCACCATGCCTGGCCCACACATGACTACAGTTCATACAGCTCTAGCTGAGAAGTCCTTCAAGGGTGTTGCCCTGCGTGAGAATGGCAGGCTTGTACAGATTCATGCAGGTCAGTTTTTCCGCAGTATGGTAGAGAATCTGAGACACAGAATGACTTCCACAACCTCCTCTCATGTCAGCACAAGAGAAATCCCATTACATGGCCGGGAGGCCCGGGACAATCAGCTAATCCAGGACATGAAAGTTATCCATCCTGGAAGTTGGCCTGAAGAGGAGTTAGACGTACAGTATGGGGACGTAGAGGTGCTACGTTTGTGCGAAGTGCTGAAAGTGGACAGAAGAGAGACTGTTCAGGGCTTTCGCGAATACAAGGAAACCAGGGCATCCCGTACACCTGCTGCCATGGAGCCTCTACTGAAAGCAGTCCGAACCATCGCTGTCTCCACTAGTGAGTGTGAGCGGGCATTCAGCTGCATGAACGATATCCTTACTGCAAAAAGGAATGCTCTCTCTGTCAGCCGACTGTCCAGCCTGGTTTTCATTAAATGTAATGGACCATCACTAGGACAGTTCAATCCGGAACAGTATGTGAGGTCCTGGCTGGCAAAGGGAAGGAGAAGTGCTGATGAAAGAGCCTGTCCAGCTCCAGCCCCTGATACTGATGTCCCCAAGGCCTTCTGGAGCCTTTTCTAACAATGTGAAGTATATTGCAAAGCAGCTCACCCAGTGAGAAAACTTTTGGCATAATGTGCCGATTTGTACAGATCCTGGAGATAGAAGGACTTCAGACCAACCAGGGAGTTATCTGATCAGCTTGGTGTTCAATGTAACTCTTTACCATGGCTCAGACTTTGTTACTTGCAGTTTCTCATTTTAGATTGTGCAAATTTTGCATTTGTTTTTACATGTTCTTTGTTCATGCTCTTTATCATTTTTCTGAGTTGGAAAGTTAGATTGCATCATAGTTTACTTTATACATATTTGTATTCTTCAGTGGTGAATTATATTGCAAAGCAGCTCAGCCATGTGAGAAGACTTTTGGCACTTTTTCGTTTTCTGAGTTGGAAAGTTAGATTGCATTCAAAATGTACAGAAATACTTAATTTTGTTAAAGCTTTTTATAAAAAATGCTTCTGACCAGAGCTTTGTTTCCTTGTCATTAATGTTGAACACCACCAGAGGGGCTCTCACCTGAAAGGTCTCTGCTTCATGTGTCTTCAGCAGAAGATCTAGACTTTGATTGCTATATTTTCAGTTAATATGAACCTTACTGAGCTTTAGCCATATCCGCTGCGTATCATAAAAAATGTTAAGTACAGTGAACCTTTCTAAAATATACAGTAGTAAAGAGACAAACCCACCAGCATTATAGTAGCCAAATTCTTGTTTGTGGGCTGTATATATAAAATTGACTTGAAAAAGTTGCTGATTTTAGAGTACTGGCACCTTTTTCATTCCAATTCAAGCACTGCCGAGGATACACTGATGGTTCCTCCACGGCTCCTCCACGGATGCATTTCCGGGAACGGTGGAGGCGTGACGCACGGCCGGACTTATCTCAGCCGATGACAGCTATGCATCCCCTGGATATTATTTTAGAAACTGCTTTCATCGTGTCGCGATGTTTCCAGAGAGAACAGCTGTAAGGTCCGTGCAGAAAGCAGAGCAGTGTGTATAATATCACTCAGTATAACAGGCCTACTCTCTTTATTTGCTTTAGTTTAGTAGATATCTACAAACAAAGAGTCGATATTTTTCTAAGACCATTG